CGCCCCGAGCGCGCTCCCTGCCGCGGACCGCGCCGGGGAGCCCGCGCCGCCGGGGGAGCGAGGCGCACCCCGCGTTCCCGCACGGAAGTTAGGGGGCGGCGTCGGAACAGGTCGGTTTTTCTGCTCTTCGCCGCGTGAGGTTGGCCGACTGTCCGGCGGCTGCGGCCCCCGCCGAGGCACCGCGGACCCCTTTTTCCTTGGAACCCCCTCGCGGCCGGGAGCTCTGGAGGGTCGGGGCTGGCGTCGCCCGGGCCGCGCTGCTGCGAGCCCCGTGGTTGTCCACGACCAAGTGCGGCGCGAACGACCCAAGTGGGGCGACGCTTGTTTGCTGGGCGCTGCGAAGGGCACCTTTCTTGGTTCTTAGAAGTTCCCGGTGTGGTAAGCCTTGATGACAAGTTCTGGAAATTGTGCAACTTTCCTTTTCTGCTTTTCTGCTTTTTAGGGGCACTATGAACGAAGAGGAGCATTTTGTAAACATTGATTTGAATGACGACAACGTTTGCAGTGTTTGTAAACTGGGAACGGACAAAGAAACGCTCTCCTTCTGTCACATTTGTTTCGAGCTAAACATTGAGGGTAAGGACACAGCACAATTTTAATTTTATGACATGAACTTTATAGGAGTACTTCATGCTGCTGTGCTTTATGGTTATAAAGTAAAATTTCTCAGCTGATTGGAAACTGTTAAGTGTGAAATGTGGATGGAGATCTTAATGCTAAGAGTTTCTGGAAATAAAGATGGAGTTAACACACCAATCAATTTAATGGGATTTAAGAGAAATAATTATCTTAAATACAGTAGTAACCCTATTTTTTCTGATATAAAAATGAGGTGTTGGTATTGCCTAATAGATGGGTTTCCTACTTGAGACTTAGGTTGTCAGATTCCAGCTGACTTCTGTGTTTCCATATTGATAACTAACAGCAGTTTATATTGATAGGCAAATGTAATTTTATGCCTTTGGGCCTAACATACTAGTACCTGAGATGATCCCGAAACTTTTCTTCTTACCTAGTATTCCCATCATCTGGAAAAATGTTCCTAAAATTTTCTGTACACGTTTAATTGATCGCAAACACCTGTAGGAATTTTTATGTTTGTTTATGAATTTAGCACGGGGTCTACAGGCTGTACAGGGGCTCACTACGCAAATCAGACTCATAGTGATTCTCCAGTTTTCAGCCTCCCAAGCGCTGGGATTACAGGTGCGCACCACCACACCCAGTCCCAAGCATGGAGCAAGGCTGGCACACACCCTGGGCATCGAACCCAGCTGCTGCTCTCTGCCGAAGCAGGCATAGGAATTTTTAGAAGATTAAATATTTTTTAAATTTTGTATCAGTATCACCAAGTATATGAAACAAAACTGCAGAGATCAAAAACTCCTATTGAGGGTGTTTAGGTTTGTGGAAAGTTAAAGTGTCTATGTCAAGCTATCAATAGTTTGCTTCTAAGAAAAATGTGTGGGATGTTGCCTTACTCTTAATGGTGTTATATTAAAACTGATTCTTTTTTAGATATTTATGAGTCACACTAAAAACTTAGTATTTTTTTTTTTTCTGTTCTGTATTTAGGACAGGGTCTGCAGGGTCTCACTATGTAGAGCAGACTGGTAGTGATTCTCCTGTGTTCAGCCTCCCAAGCGCTGAGATTACAGGCAGGTGCCACCATGCCCTGTCTCCATAGCCATCTCAGTGAGCTCTGGGGGGTCGGGCCGGCATGCCACGCCTGGAATGGAACCCGGCTGCTTCACTCTGATTAAGCAGGCGCTTTAGTCAGCTGAGCTGTCAGGGTGTCCCCCACAATTTATTATTCCTTTATTTTAGGGAAGGGTTGGCAGGATGTTCAGGGTCTCACTACTTGCTTGGACTCCTAGTGAACAGCCTGTTTACAGCCTCCCAAGAGCTGGGATTACAAGTGTGTGCCACCACACCCAGTCTCAATTGACATCTCAGCTTGTCCTGGGGGCGGGGCCAGCAGGGCAGGCCCAATGATTAAACCTGCCAGCCCCTGCTCCTTCTTGCAGATGCTTTAATCTGCTGAGCTATTTGGCCAGCCCTTAAAACTGAGTATTCTTAGTAACATTAAATTTACTTATATTTTGAATTTGGGATTATATCAGTAAAGAGACTTAGATCTTCAGATTTGGACCGTTTTTAAAAATTTTTTTCTTTCAGGTAGACCGTATATATTTGAAAAATTTCATGATCGTTATGTTTTTATTACGAGCGAGCGCACACCCATTAGTATGATATACCTTGAAGTTCCTGTTAGGGCTTGTTAGTCAGAAATGTAGTTGGCAAACCTTATGTGATTGAGCATTGTGGATTACTTTTGAGGTACATCAAACACTGATGATTTGGCTTTCACAGGTGTGGCAATTAATCTAATTTCAAAGGGATGACTTAAAGATGTGCTTGTTTCTCTGGCATTTAAATTACCAGATTCTTAAATCATTCTAGAGTGAAAGATCTAAATTTATGTTTTTAGAAATAGAGTTGGCCCTGCACATTCTGACAGATGTAATTTTACGTTTAGATGGAGAAGGACATTGGAAATTGGCCAGTTCCAAACTTGCATTTTGCATGTTAGCAGACTGGAGAGAGTTGTACTCTGGGGTGCTGCAGTGCTGGTGGGAAGCTGCTGTTACGTGCTGGCATTGTAGTAAGCATCTTAGAGGATTATCTTATTTAACTCAGAATAGTTCTGGTATGACTGCTGTTTACTCACTTGAAATGCCATGCAGCTGAACCTTAGAAACCTAAGAAATGCGCTCTGAAGTTGTACAGCTAGTAATTGACTCTCCTGGGCTTTGCAACCTGGCCTTTTTTTTTTTTTTTTTTTTTTTAATGTATTTAATGCAGGTCTACAGGGTGTCACTATACAGATGGGACTTGTGATCTACCTGTTTTCAGCCTCCCAAGCGCTGGGGTTACAGGTGCATGGCATCACACCCAGTCTTAAACCTGGCCATATTAATTGCAGTGTGTGATCTTACTTCTACTGGTTTACTGGCAATAGTTATTGTAGTGATAGGGCTGATAAAAGTCTGCTTCCAAATTAATTCTTTCCTGTTCATTTGTGCAACTTTTCCAAACCACTGCTTCCTGCTAAATCATCATTAATAGGATTCATGTTATAGAAACCTAAATTGTCATCATTGCTTTTGTAACCTTTGTAAGTGTATCTTTTAACTAAAAGGAATGAATATACAATATACTCTGGTAACATCTTTGTTTAAAAAAAATATTTTGGCTCTGGTAACATCTTTGTAAACACTTTAGCTCTTGACATGGAAACATGACTTATATCCTTTGTTTTGAAACAGTATGGTAGTGGTCTCTCAAAAGGCAGAAGCAGTTCTCAATTTGAATTAGAACAGGTGTCAATTCAAAATAGAACTGTATCATTTGATACTCTACATATGTTCTATGTTTTATATATTTAAATGCCAATTTAACTTGTGAGAAAAATTAAAGCCAATTTTTTTTCAGTTTATCTGGTGTCCATTCTCAGCTCTCACAAGTGCATATTTCCATTTTTGCTACGGTGATAAGCTAGTACCCTGACTTCTACAAAAGTACTGTGTTTTTATTTGTACCGGTTTTTGAAGACCAACAGAAGAAAGTGACAGTCACATATTAAAAAAAAATTATAGGGCATATTCTTTATGATCATAGATCATTTCACATGTTTTTGAAGTTTTCTTTCCAGTACCAAGTTCTCAGCACAATGTCAGTAAATTTGAATGTAAGAGGAACTTCTAAAAAATGACATTTAACTCTGGTAGCCTGGTATAATTCTCATTGTGGTATGACAAATTGCTGTTGTCCAGTTTCAGGGCTTTCTAATTGCTCAATTTACTCCAAACTGTGCTGTTTTTATTTTGCAAAGAAGCTTGGTAGAAATAAGTTCCCTTGAGGAGTGATAACATTTAGGCTAATTTTGAGTTCAGACATTTGTGGTAAATACAAGTGATATGTTTTACTTTTTGGACTGTTTATATCAAATGAACATTGGTCTTCTAATCAACTGGCCTCTTGTTTAAAAGCTATTTGTGTGCATATGTTTATAAAACAGACAAAGGGAAAAAGAGAAGTAACAAAAGACAGAGCTTGCTGGAGAGATTATTTTGTATTCTGGACATTGTTCGGAGTTTTCTTTTTTCTGTGATTTCACAGTAGTTGAAAGGGACGCCTAACTTCTGTATACAGCCAAACCGTCAGCAGTACATTTTTAGGGGCTAAGAAATGGACTTTGATGAACTCAAATCTTTTGATATATTCATAAGAATGATTTAAACTCATAATCCACTATTGAAATAATGTATGTACTTCCAGGATTAGGAGACAGATGTTTAAACTCCATAATACTTAGGGCTTAACCTTGGCAGTAAAGCACTATAAACTTTCACATACGTGTGAATGACCAAATGCTCTTTGGTTCACCCTGGTGAAATTTCTAAGGCTGTTCTATGAACAAATCACTGCTGCTCCTAAAATGAGGCACGGGAAGGCAGCCCAGTGTGGCTAGGAGCCTGCAAGTCAGTGGTGGGGGCAGGCGAGAGAAGGTCCAGGACCGCAGTCCTGCTACCTCAGACTTCGCTTTCATTTTGTGCCAGAAAATTGTGACACACGTGCTTACATCATTGCTACTTTCCTTTGATAATTAACTTGTTTTCCATAGAAGAAAAACTCTCAGAGGACTGCACCAATTCCCTCTTTATCTAAAACCAAGAGTTTTTAGTGGAGCCTGATAAGTAAGTGTATGTCCAGCTGCTGCTGTCCATGCAGTCCATTTTGGATTTCTTTTCTTCTAATTCATTGTTCTTTCCAGGAAGCAGAAGCAAATTCAGCTCCCTAGTAAATCTTTACATCATGAAAAATCTGTAGTTATTTTCCCTTAGTTAAGGCACGGATGCACTGTTATGTTTTCTTGGTTCTTGTGTTGATTATAGCACTGTTCAAGTCAGTAGCAGGGAAAGGGGGGAGAGTGCAGGAAGATAGCTCGGTAGAATAAACACTTCCCCGGCAAGCGCAGGGTCCTGAATTCAAACTCCGGCACCGCAAAAAAAAAAGAAAGAAAGAAAGAAAAGAAAAGATGTGTGGGGGCTGGGGAGATACCGCAGTAGAATAAGTGCTTGCCTGGCAAGCGCAAGGGCCTGAGTTCAATCCCTAGTTCTGCCAAAAGACAAAAAAATCGGTAGCTGGGGACCAGATTGAGTCTTAAGTGTTATGCTTTTGGTTTAGGTGATTTACTGTTTTGGATCTGTCGCTGTTCATCTGTGACCTGTTGCTTACACAGCTTCTTTCTGCTTATGTAGTAAAGAGGTCCCCACTTGGGATGTAGAGACTGCAAGTCGCAGGCTCCATCTGACGTTAGCCTTGTTCTTCTTTCCTGCCTCATAATGGCATCATTGTGTACTAACATTGACGAAGTAGCATTTTTAAATATAAAGCTTAACATGGTGGTCTTCATTGTATTTGGAAATAAAAACTCAAGGTTATTTGGCTTCACTGCCTTTTTGTCACTTTAAATAAATGTGAGTACTATTTAAATGGCTCTACTGGTAAAA